AAAAAAAAAAAGAAAGAAAACCTTATGAGGCAGTTGTACTCTGTTACATGGGGTTTCTAGGAGTCAGAATTGACTCATTAGCACCTAGCAACAACAATATATATGTAGATATATATTTGCAATACCTAGACCAAAGTTTTATTAGTGGCTACTGGCAATGGGAGAGAGGGGGAAAATAGGAGTCATTGTTTAGGAAGCAGTGAGTTTCTGTTTATGGTGATGGAAAATTTGGCAACAGATATTGGTGATGGTTGTATAACATGATTAATGTAATTGATATTAAAATGCACATATGAAAAATGTTGACTTGGCAAATGTTGTCTTATACATATTTATAACAATGAAAAATATTGCTATACCTGAGGAGGAGGAGGAGGAGGAAGAGGAAGAGGAAGAAGAGGAGGAGGAAGAGGAGGAAGCCGTGTCTCTCTCATTTTGTTCTTGGGAAAAGAGTCCAGCCTCTCCGTCTTGCTCATGGAAGTCCATCTCTCCACCTGGGAGGTACACACAAATGAAAGGATGAGCATTTCCTGCCCTTCCCATCCCAGGGCCAACAAAGTCTGGCCTCTCCCCAAGGATTGGCTTAGACTTAGGAAGCCAGCCCTCTGGGTTATTCTTTCCAAACACCCAGGAAGATGCAGGAGACCAAGGCTCTCAAATGTCCCAGAGTTTCTAAGGAGGCCCGGAGTGGCCATTTCTCTAAGCCCCCTACCCTGCCCAGAGACCACTAGACTCTAGAGTAGTTGCTGATTTAGGATTCCCTGAAATTTGCAGATGGGATCTGATCAAGCCCTAAACTTTCCCATTTCCCAGTCTGAAGCCAGACAGGATCCTTCCCACATTCTGGGAACTCTCCATAGGGCCAGTCCAAGCTTCCAGAGCCTTCCTGAGATTTGGGAAGCAACTGAATGCCCTCACAACTAGAAAGTGATAGGAACAGACTGGACCAAGTATATGTGTGTGTGTGTTCACGTGTGTAAAATCACTGCTTCCCTAGAGGTTTTAATGGTAACTTGAACCATTGTGCCACATGAGCTAAGCAAGAAATTTTTCTTTTCCTACCCACTGCTAGGTAGGAATTTTTTTCTTTTCCTACCCATCTCCCATGTGGCATTGCCCAGAGGGTGAGGGAAGGCAGACATACTGTCTAGATCTTCTGTTTCTCTGTGGACTTGATTATGGTCTTGAGGCTGAGATGAGGATCCTGAAGTCTCCATGGTTTTCCCTGGAGGAATAATAATAATAAGTAAGTAATATCACTTTAGTTAATAGCCTTACTATATAAAGAGCTTGGCAAATAAATAACAAAAAGATCCAAAGCCAGTTGCCATTGAATTGATTCCAACTCATGGTGACCCTATGTAAGCACAGTAGAACTGTACTCTGTAGGGTTTTCTTTAGCTGATTTTTGGGGAGTAGGTCACTAAGCCTTTCCTCTAAGGCACCTCTGGTTGGATTTGAACCTCCAACCTGTTGGTTAGCAGCCAAATGCATTAATCATTGATACCACTCAGAGATTCCAAGAGAAAAAGAAACATCTAGTATTAAAAAGACAAGGAAAATAATTTACAAAAAAAGAAATATACAATTAGAGAAATTTGAATATTGATTATATATTTGATAATAAGAAAATGTTATCTATTTATTTATTTTTTATTGTGATTTGGGTGAAAATTTACAGAGCAAATATACCTGCCCTGAGCTGTCTCCCTGTGCATAAGCAGCCCTTCTTTCTCCCATGTTTGTTCTCTCCAAGGAGTTTATTTACCTCAGGTAAATGTTCAACTCATATGCCTGTCTGTTGTTTGGCTGGAAGCCACAGGCGTGGGTTCAATTCCAGACCTGAAGGGCAGCTAGGGGCCATAGTCTCAGTGGTTCCACCAGGCTCTATTGGACCAGCAAACCTGGTCCCCCCCCTTTTTTTTTTCCAAATGATTTTGAGTTTTGTTCCACATTGTTCTCCCTCTCTATCCAGGATCTCCTACATAGATCCTCTTCCAAGTGGTTGACAGTAGTAGCCGGGCACCATCTAGTTCTTCTGGTCTCATAGTTGTATAGGCTGCAAATCGGATGGTGTACCAGTTGCTAGGACTAATTGTTCCCATGAATTTTTGGTTTGAGAAAATGTTATTTATTTTTTAGGTGTGATGTTTATATTGATGTTATATTTATGACCTGGTTCTAGCTCTAGATATGCCAGCTGCTGTTTGCCCTCTATTTCCTCTTTCCTGATTCCTGTATGCTACAGCATGCAACATGGTGGTGGTAAGCCAACTCTAACCATGCAAACAAGGACAACAGCCCTGGGGAGGGCTGGGAAACAATTCAGAAAGAACCTGGGTCCCCGCAGGCCTTATGCATAGAGCTGCTACCCACCTGGGCCTCCTGCAATCTCTGGACTGCTACATGTACAGGAAATAAGCTCCTCTTCTTTCTTTTGTGTCTCTCTGTCATAGCAGCTTAACCAAGTTATTCAGGCTTCATAGCTTCCTACCCTATTTCTTCTCCTGGCTGAGTCTAAGGCCTCAAATCTAAGAGGAAGTAGATGCACTGATTTATTTCTAATCTTTGGAACTACAGACATTTTGTTGTTGTTGTCAGCTACTGTCAAGTTGGTCCCTGACTCATGGCAACCCCATGCACAATGAAAAGAAATGCTGCTCAGTCCTGTCCTATCTCTGTGATTGGTTGTGGATAGACTATTGTGGTGCACAGGGTTTTCACTGGCCGATTTTCAGAAGTAGATCACAAGGCCTTTTTTCCTAGTCTGTCTTAGTCTGGAAGTTCCTCTGAAACTTGTTCAGCATCATAGCAACACACAAGCCTCCACTGACAGATGGGTGATGGCTTCACTTGAAGTACACTGGACAGGAATGAAATCCAGGTCTCCTGTATGGAAGACAAAGGTTCTATCACCGAACTACTAATGTCTTTACTGACATTTGGTATATGTGCTGCAGAAGTGAGCATGCCTCTACTGACATTTGGGACTAGATAATTCCTTGCTGCGCTGTGCATTGTAGGATGTTTATCAGCTTCCTTGGTTTCTACCCACTAGATGCCAGCAGCACACACACCCCACTTGTGACAACCAAATATGTCTCCAGACACTGCCAGATGTCCCCTGAGAGACAAAAATTACCCCCAGATGAGCACCATTTGACTAAAGGATCTACTGTTCATCCACTACAAGACAAGGCAGTGCTCTTCTCTGCACTTTAGAGCCAAGCTGCCTGGCTTTGAATCTCCTGTCTCTGCCACTTCTAGCCATGGTAGGTTGGGCAAGTTACTTAAACGCTTGCTGTGTCTCAGTTTCCACATCTGTAAAATAGGGACAATAATAGTACTTATCTTATGATATTGTTGTAAAAAGACACACTTAGAACAATGGTTGGTATAGAGCAAGTATTGAATAAATGCTAGCTGAGGTGATTATTATTGTTAGGATGGGGAGGTAGATGGGGGAATGTCTGGGCTAAATAAGACAATATTTGGTGTAGTAGAAAGATCCTGGACTCTGGGGTCAGACTGATTGGGCTGTGATCCCACTTCTGCCACCTATGTACAGGAGACTTTGGGCAGGTCAGTTTCCTTTGCTAAGCTTTTGTTATCTCATTTCTGACCTGGGGAAGGCAGCACCTTAGGCCAAGAGGACAGATGGACAGTGCCTGCTGTTAGCAGGGGCTCAGTGAATGTGAGTTTCCCCTTCCATATACCCACTCCTACCCTCCAACATCCAGCATCCAGCCCCAGCTTTACTCATGTCCCTCTCCTAGATTACAGGCTTGATTATTCCTTCTAAAATAAACATTCCTATTTCTCAGGGCAGAATTCAGCTAACCATTAGGAAGTCAACAGCCAGTTAAACTAATTGATAACAGGGTATGAATGATTGCTAATCTTCAGCCTCCAGGAGATATTAATGTTTTGAAAAGGATTCTTTGTATATAGCAAGTACCCAGTATATGTTCATTGGCTGAAATAATCTATAATGGTGGAATTTCAGGTAGAGTGGAGGAAGAGTTAGAACTATATGGATGAAATAGAGCTGCAGGCTGGTGCTGAACATACCACAAGTTCACCAAACAGTGAGCTCTCCTTCTGGTCCTATCTCCTTCTTGCTCTAGCCGTTCTTGGCCACTCAACAGTCCCTGGTCATACATAAGCATTTTCAGACCTCCAGACTTTTACTCGGGCCATTCTTTCCTATTGTTAAAATTGTATCTGTCCTTCCAAGCACAGGTTAAATACCACCTTCTTCATTTGTTCTTCCAGCACAAGGTTAGACACTGTTTCCCCAGCCTTCCTTGCAATTGGGGTGACCATGTGGCTCAGTTTTGGCCACTTTTGGTTTTGCTTCTCTTAATGAAAGAAGCAGATGGCTCTGCTGCAGTGCCCACCTCCTCTTCCTTCCTTGAACTTGCATGACATGGCAGGAGCTAAAGTGGGCATCTTGTGACTATGAAGAAATAATCAAAGCAAATGCAGATGGTGAGCCAGCAACTGTCTGCTTTTTTGTTATTTGAGAAAAATAAACCCCTGTTTAATCCCTTATAGTCAGGATGTTTGACATGATGACCAAACATAATTCTGACTGATACACCTTCCCTCTCTTTCATTCATACATTAATTGAGCACCTATTGTGTGCTAGCACTGGGGATACCATGGTGCGTAAGTCACAGTCCTGTCCTCAAGAAATTTCAAGGTAGACCAGGGCATTGTGGGAGGCTGGGGGATAAATCAGACTAGGATCAGTTAGGGAATGTTCCAAAAGGAGAGGATAATAGGGGTGAGTTTGGAAGGTCCAGATGGAATAGCATGTGCAAAGGTATAGAGGGAATGGGGCCATGGCCCAACTATAGGAAACAATTTGCAGGTTGTAGCTCTAAGAAGAAATGGAATTTTAAGAGGCCCAGAAGGTACCCTTACCTTGTCAACTGGTACATTGCTTTCCTGAGCCTTAGTCAACTTAGTCAGACTCTAATTCCTCAAGGTAGAGGCCACAGTTTCCTATTCACCTTCAGATCTCTGCTCAGTGCTCAGCAGAGGCTCTGCCACCCTCAGAGTTTGTCTCCTCCACTAGATCATGAACTCAGCCAGGGTAGGGCTGAAGACTGATTCATCTCTGTGTCATCCATCCCTCTGCACAGGGTTTGGCACAGAACAAAAATGATAGTGATAATAACAATAACAGTAGCAAGCAGTTGTAGGTGCTTAGCATATGTCAAGTGATGGCCTAAGCACTTTCCTTATGTTAACTCATGTATTCCTCACCACAGCCATATGAGAGGTCACGATGGTTGTGCCCACTTATAAGTAAGAACAGTGAGGCACCGAGAAGCTAAGAAACTTGCCCAGGGCCACATAGCTAGTAAGTGGTTGAGCAAGAGTGGTTGCTCAGTCCATGTTGGGAGACTGAAAGAGTGATGCTGACACCTCTTCCCAGGCCCCAGTCATTAGCTACAGTCATTGGAGTGTTATGAAAATGATGCCGACTCAGCTTATATTTAGCCCTTGGTGAAGCCCTGTGTAAGTATCCTCATAGCCCTGGGAACTTCCTTGGGCAGGTCTCTAGCACACTGACCTATCAGGAGGACGGACATGGAACTATCATAGAGATGGGACCTGAGGTGGCTTTGTTCTCTCTTAATGGTCCTTGTTTTCTCCTCCACCCCCATCTCTGCTACAAGAAAGAATATTAGAATAAAACTCCTTTCAAGTGTTGGGGGGAAAAAAATCAAGGATCATTCTGTAGGGCAGTGCTTAATGTAAAGGGTCAAAGCACTAGTAGGGGAACAACAGGCACTGGCAACACTTTACTGGAAGAGGGTTTGTTGGGAGGTGCTTGCAAAATTTCAAGTCCATAGCATTCATCTTCCAAGAAGAAAGCTAGCAGGGAAAGGAAAGAGAACACACCTTGCATGTTACCTGTGATCTTAATTAATCCCCGCAAATCTTATTTTACACAGGCAGAAACGGAAGTTCAATCAGACCAAATGACTTGCCCAAGATCTCTAATTCAATCCCTGACTCCACAAAGAGCCCCATCTCCCTGCTCTTCCTCTGGTTAGAGGGTTCTAGGCTTTTCTTTCTCAGGTGGCCCCTACCTCTGATGCCGATCCTACCAGGAAATGAAATGCTTGACTTTCTGGCACTTTTCTCCAAAAAGCCCTTCCCTGCTGAGTCACTGTGGTGCCAGGGCCTTGGCACCCACAGGTCTTGCTAAACTGGATTTCCTCTTCAGCTCAACCCAGAGTCCCTGAGGGCTGGCTGTCACAAAGGGCCTGGGCTTAGGGTGGGAGGGATATTAGGGCACACTGTGCCATCACAGCCTCATGGCATGGTCCCCTCCCAGCTCACTTGCTTCTCCTACCAACCCGGAGGGAGGCAAGGTGAGGATTACTGCCCTGTTTTACAGATGGGGATACTGAGGCCCAGAGATGGAGAGGAACTTGCCCAAGGTTCCATAGAAACACTGGGGCAAGACTGGCTCCAGAACTCACTCTCATGATTCAGGGGTTGCTTATCTTTCTGCAGTATCTGACCTTGGAGGAGGGGCTGAAGCACCTAAAATTGAGTTGGATTTTAACAGGTGGCCACAGGTTTAGTGAAGGAGGTAGGTGGTGGTAGGCAGTCAAAGGGGTAGGAGCCCAGTGAGACTGGGTGAAGAACATCCTAGGCCTTGAATGCCAAGCTAAAATAGTCAACTTTTCCTGCAAGAGGACTGTGAGGAATGTGCCTGGGCCACAAATTCAGGGCAAGTTCAGCTAAACAAGCATAGGGTGGAGAATGGATGCAAAAACTGGAAAGGGAGCAGGCAGAGTGGGTAGAGGGGTAGACCTTGTTGTTTTTGCCCACCTGGCATCCAAATCCTCTTCCTATGGTGATTATACCTGATTTTGCTTTGAGGACATTCAACTCCAATTGGCAACACCTTGGGGCCAGCCCTCAAGGTGCCAAGTCCTCCCTGGCTAAACAGTGAGCACAGGACCAGGGGCAGAGACAACAGGAAAGAGTGCCTTCATTAATCTCCTTCAGCTTCCCAGGTCACCCCAAACAAGCACATGGGTAATTTCAAGCAGATCATTATCAGGCAAACACAGCTTAAGACAAGCACCTGCAAACTGATTACCACCCTCTCTTCAGACCCCTCTTTTTATTTTATTGTGATAAAATACATGTACCACAAAATCTGCCATCTTAATAGTTTATTTTTTCTTCTACTTTGTCATCACATCAAACAGAAACTTAGTACTATCTCGGCCCTTTTATGTGGAAATTCTGGAGTGGTCACTTCCCTTGGTCCAGGTTAGACTATCAGCCTCCCTCTGCTGGGAATCTGAGACACAGAGTCCTGAGTCATTTGGCCCTACTTTGCCCTAAGATGGAGCCCTGAAGAAGTTCTCTTTCCATTTCTGCCTCCTACCCACTCTCTGAGGAGCTCTGGTAGCATAGTGCTTAAGGCACTTGACTGCTAACCAGAGGGCTGGTGGTTCAAACCCACGAGCCACTCCTCAGAAGGAAGGTTGGGCAATCTACTTCCATAGTGATACCACCTGGGAAACCCAAGGAGGGGTCACTATGAGTCGGATCCAACTTGACGGCAGTGAGTTTGGTTTGGATCCTCATACTAAAGGAGGGGTCACTATGAGTTGGGTCTGACTCAATGGCATATAACAACAACAACAACACCCACTGTCTGAGTGGTAGTTCCTTTTGTTTTGTGAGACCTCAAGTATCTTTTTTCTATCCTGAGGTGCTTTCTATTACTTGCCACCAAGGCACTTGAATTAAGACAAATGGGTGGGGAACAGATTCCAGGAAGAGCCAAGCTGGGCCTGCACAACAGGGTCCACTAACCACTCCAGCCTTCAGAGTGAGACTTGAGCAGGGTCCCCATGGACCCCCTATGAGGAGTGGCCTAACTGAATTAATGTCTGAACTCCAGGCATGGTCAGGAACTACTGGGTTTCCACAACCCCCACCTATCCTTCATCTCCCAGCATTGTAACCACCTAAGATCTTGCCCTAGAGACTAACATTGACTGAGGACAGAGACTCTCTTAGACCTGGATCACCTCTATACTGGTTTCCTATGGCTGCTGTAGCATAGTGGCTAAGGCACTTGACTGCTAACCAGAAGGCTGGCGGTTCAAATCCACCAGCCACTCCTCGGAAGGAAGGTTGGGCAATCCTACTTCCGTAGTGATACTGCCTCGGAAACCCAAGGAGGGGTCACTATGAGTCAGGTGTGACTCGACGGTACACAACAACAACAACAACATGGCTGCTGTAACATATTGTTATAGACTTAGTGGCTTAACAACACAAATTTATGATCTATGACCCTGTTGTTCTGTAGGTTAGAAGTCCAACACAGGTCCCACTGGGCTAAAATCAAGATATTGGTAAAGCTACATTCCTTTCTGGAAGCTCCAAGGGAAAAATCCATTTCCTTGCCTTCTGCAGCTTCTAGGAACCATCCACATTCCTCGACTCATGGCCTCTTCCTTCATCTTCAAAGCCAGCAACGTTGGGTCAAGTCCTTCTCACATTGCATCACTGTGATCACCACCCACTTCTGCCTTTCTCTTCCACTTTTAAGACCTGTCTGGATAATCCAGGATAATTTCTCTATTTTAAAGTCAGCTGATTAACAACCTTGATTCCATCTGCAACCTTAATTTCCCTTTGCCATGTAACTTAATAGTCATAGGTTCTAGGGATTAGGATGTACATATCTTTGGGGGGCATAATTCTGC